AGTCGTTCTCAAGATAGTCTCCTCATGTTACACCCCTATTTAATATATTGTTCACTGCATTAGGTAAAGTCAAACTACAATTAATAAATGATATTATTTACGTACCTTCAGTTCATTACTATGGACTAATAACAAAAAAAAATTAATTGATTGTCACGTTTCAAGTCGAAATAGTATGGATATTAACTGTCTATTAATAGAAATAAATCGTTTCTTTCTAAAAATATTTCCTTTCCGAAACTCATTACTAAATTTGCTTGTTTATTTCTTTTTTTTCTCTATATAAATATATATGAAAATATTACAATAAATAAAACAAACAAATGTGATCACATGGTAAAATGGAAGAAAATTGGAAGTGTATATAAAAATTTTTATATATTTTCTTGTTGTAATTGTTTACATATATTTTTGACTTGTTTTTTTAAATCTTCTTCATGATTAATTTGATAAATTTTGATAATTTTTCATGATGTTTGAATTAAATTAATAATTGTTTGTAAATAAATAATAATTCGTTCATAAATATTATTTGATATAAAAATTAAATCATATTTTTTTCTAATCATTATTTATATGAAATGGTTTACCTTGTAAAAATGTTTTAGCTGTTATATTTGTTTTTGACAATTCTAAATCATCAATAAAATGAGCTGATATTGTAGATTTTTGTTGTAATTGTTTAGATTCAAATAATGTTAAAAGATGATCAGCAAGTATAAATGGATATTGATGATACCAATTTTCAATACGATGTTCTTCATCAGCAATTAATATAAAACGTGGATAATTTTTATTTGTTGAATATGATGATTTTATATCAGCAGCACTACGGCAACGAGGTGGTTGAGGTTTTAATTTTATTATTGAAGTTAATTGAAAACTTGATGGAGATCTTTGACGAATTGATGATGATGATGATGGTGGTAATAATTTACGATGAAAAATATCTCGTTCAATTTTGAATAGAGGTGGAGATGATGTTAATGATGTTGGAGGATTATCATAATTAGAAGGATCAGAGGGAACTAATTGAGAACGTGTTTTTTCAGAACAAAATGTTATAGTAGAATTAGGACGAGGACGAATTGACTTTGATGTAGGTAATTTTATTTTTGATTTTGATATTGAATTATTACTATCAGTAATAAGAGAAGGATGTATTGGTTTTGATGCAATAATGAATGGCTCGAAAATTAATCGTGGATAAGTTTCTGTTGGTTGTTTTGGTATTCCAGGACGCGAACATGAACTATGAGATGTTGCTGCACTTCCTCGATTTAAATCACCAGAAGATAAAGCTGAACCAAATGAAGATGATGATGATATACCTATTTTAATGAAAAATTTCTTTATACAAGATTCCAATATTACACATCAAGAAGTCAAAATTAAAAATTTTAATAATTTTGATTATTTTTTCTTTAAATAGTAGCTCGCATTGCAATCACGAATAGATATACGTAAATAGTCATTGATGGCTTGACGCAATTCTATTTTAGCCTATAAACTATTTCATACAAATCACTATGGAATTATTGAAATGTTGCTTGTAACGATTTTTCGATGTGACCGTTTAAAATAAAAAATATGAATGAATGTTCCTAAATCAAATAGTTAAACTAGAATATCCTAGTCAAATACCATCGAGTCTCAGTACATTTCAATCGAATATGTAACTGTTATTGATAGTAAGGAAAATGTTTTATTAGAACTAGACACAAGTGAACTATTTTCCATTTCGATCTCAATTTTAGTTCAAGTTCCTATCGAAGCACAATCATGACTCAATTTAAAACAACTGATCATATATCTATATGAGCAATTAACAAGAATGATATTAACGATTCCATAGATCAAATAATACGAACAATTTGTTTCAAACTTATAGACAATAGTTAGGAATTTATACTGATCAATTTTGTGTTTTTTCGCTAAACTTGATACCAAAACTAAACCTCTCACAGATCGAAAACAAAAAAACAAATGACTAGTCTCATTCACTTCAGCCTACATTACATAGTTTTAATTTTTCATATTGTAATAACTAAAACAATATTTTTACTTGTCTTTAACAATTAAAGAACGATACATGAATAAAAAAAATTTGTACCCAATTCCGATTTCAATAAAACTGCTTTTTTATCTTCTTGTTGTTGAGCAATAATTTGTTTAAGTGTTGAAAATAAATGTCCATCACAATTAAAAATTGATGTACTTGGATCAACAAGAATTTCTTGTGTTGTAGCAAGACGTTTAAGTTCTGCTACTGATCGTCCTAATTGAAACCATGTTTCTGTATCTGAATATTTTTCAACTAGTGTTTGTGCTTGTTGTTTTTTTCGTTTTCTTTCATATGTTATTTTTCGTTTTTCATGAGTTTGTTTTGAAAAATTTTGAAATGATTGTTCTTCTTTAGTTTTTGATATTGGAATTGTTAAAGCTGTTGATTTCATTCGTATAGGCATTCAACGATGACGATAATGACGTGAATTTATTGATGTTGGTGTTGAACGATCTAATGTTGTATTATGATTAGATATTGAATTTGCTTGATCAATAGGTGAAGCTGAAATATATCTTGAAGTTGTTGGAATGCGTACATGATGATGAATTATTCGTTTTGTTGTTGATAATTCAGATTTTTGAAATGGATTTCGATTATCAATACCTAATTGAAATATATCATTAACAGTATCTTTTGATTGTGAATTTGATTGTGATCGAGATAATGTTGTTGACCAACGTGGAAATTGATAATTACATACAATAGATGGATCTTCAACATGACTCATTAGGTGTTTTTTTTTCAATCTAAAAGATAATTTTATTGCAATAAGCACAAGGAAAAAAGCAACTAAACATGTTAGACCTAACTAAACAGACATGTTAGTTTATATTTAAATATATAATTAATCATCATCATCACTATTTGCTTTAGCAATACATTTCCATACAAAGATACTATAAGAAATCAAATAAGAGAAATATTTTCTATAAAATAAAATAAAATAAAACTTACCAACAATCATCTTCACCTAAACTAACTAAATGACTTTCGTTAGAAAGAAAACAAACATTTGTTACGTTATCTGAATGACCATAAAATGTTTTACGTTCCGCCTAGAAATGATTTATTGATTTAAAACAATAAATTATTATTGAAAAGAATAATTTTTCGCTCCAGCTTCTAGACACGGAAATTTAAATAAATTAACAGCTCCATTATCATCACCAGTCACAATTGTTCATAATACAACATGAGCACAATTAATATGATCTTTTTTTACATCTTTTGGCCAAATACCATTTACATCATCTCCGATTATACTAAACAGTAATAAAAATTAATTGCGTTTTGTGGAACTCACATTATGTTTTTCAAAGAAAAATATAGTGAGTATAAGTTGAGGTTTCGCGGCTCCTCTTCCTATACACTTATCAACTGGGATTAAGGGTCATGAAGCATGTTTTCATAGTAATTGAAGACAACATGCACTCTAAACAGCTTTAACGGCATGACTTAAACTGTTCTACCAAAAAAAACGCCTTCGTCGACATGTAAATAACTGAGAAATGTTAGTTAGTGCAATTTCTGAATTTTGCGCAGATAAAAATTAATATTCAAGATGTTAAGAATGATGGATAGTAATGCAGTGATTTGCAACAACTGCCGTATGATCAACACAAAAAAAAACGCGTGAATTAATCAAGTTATAACTTAGGAAAATATTAAATATCAGTGTTTGCGAATTTCTCAAGATATATAATGTAACGTTGAGACCTGCTATAAATATAATGAATATACACAGCAGGCACATTTGTCAGCTAAATCCATGTTTAGAATACCACGGAATACGGAAAAAATAGATAACGAACAGATAGCAACAACATAAATAGAAAAGTTCGACATGTCAGTGCCAAACGTGGTTGCGCTAATAAGTTCTTATTTCATTCTGAACGAAGAAGTTCTGAAATTGAGCATTAGGGAGCTGTGGGTCCAACCTTTTATTTTTTGTTGAGTCCAGTTACACATTTTTTCTGATCTGCTGCTCCCTAGATGAGAAATCCAGCAACAAGATATAACTATACGTTAAGTTTTTTTCTGAGAGTAGTGAATAACTAGCTGATATCTTGATCGTTCACTTGTTCATGTACATGAAGGGCGCCAGATATTGATGGAAAAAACCTTGGGTTTGGGCCTGACCTGGTCAGGATCCACAAAAACGTGGACCCGCAGCTCCCTATTGAACATTGTTACATCCAGAGATGGAACCGATCGGGACTTTTCATAAGCGGTCAATAGCTCGTAGGTGGATCTGTCTGAAATACTTACTAACACTCGCCTGACAAGATGTCATACTATTCCATCTGTAGATAGTGATATTTGTCACAGTCAAGTTTCAACACAATTTCATTATACATCCGCTGTGATACTAAGAGGAAAAAAATGAATAAAACAACATTTCGTCTGTACCTATAGGGTGTGGGTCTCTATAGAGGAGGTTATCATGATGATAGGGTGAAGACCTACATCAACCCACCCTCACGCAACCAGGATGTGTCGGTGTGGGTTGCTGTGGGTGGATGTGGTGCGGGGTGTGGGTATGATTGTGGATGTGGGTGTGGGGTGTGTGATGTGCGTGTGCGTGCGTGAATAACTGTTTACACTCACACCCACACCCCACCCCAACCCACCCACACCCACACTCACACCCCACCTATACCCACATCCACACCCCACATCCGCAACCCACACATGCACACGCACTCTGTCCAGCCACATCCACAAGTGACCCCCAAAACTCACGCTCACATCCACACTCAACCCACACCCAGCCACAGCTACATCGGCACGACACACCAATACACTCGAAAAGAACCACCCACCCACACACGCATCTACATGCATGCCCAAATTC